CTTGTTTAGCTCCACAACAGTGAGGGGATTAAAAAAGAGAGGGAAAATATTGTGGAGTTGTGCTAGAGCTGTTGTTTGTTGGACGGTTTGGGAAGAAAGAAATCAAAGAGTTTTTCATGATAAAGAAAAAAGTAAGGAAGCCATCATAGAACTTATTTATGTTAGGGTGGCTCTTTGGGTCAAGCCTTTGAAGCTCTTTGAAGACTATTCGATAGGAGACATCATTAGAAAGTGGGATGAAGTGGCTCGGTCAGCTCCCATGTCCACAGCTCCTAGACCTGTTTGGACTCCACCAGATCCGGGTTTCATCATATTGAACTTCGATGGTAGCAGCGAAGGAAATCCAGGCCATTCTGGTAATAGGCGGTATCTTCGGGGATGAGGAAGGTAGAATCATTGCTATCTTCCCAGGACCTATAGGCTGGGGGGACTCATTGAGAGCTGAAATCTTGGCAGCTCTAGAAGGATTTAAAAGCGCTAAATTGAAGATTATTAAGTTGTTGGTGGAAGGAGATTCTCAGTTGACTATTAAATGGTTGCAAGGAAGTGTCCAGCTTGTGTAAGTTCTCTAATGAAAGAAAGAAAATTACTCAGTTAACTCAGAATGTCTGTAAGGGTTCAATGGGCCAAGAGGTGCACTAATTCCATGGCTGATACCTTGGCCAAACAGGGGGTGGGAAGAACAAATCTTTTTTCGGCTATATGGTAATATGTTTTTTCAGTTTGTTAGGGAGGGTTAAGTCTTTTTACCCCTCCCTCCTGGTTGTAATTTCTATATCTCTTTTTATAAAATTCCTGTTATTGATCAAAAAAAAAAAAAATAGATTACAGATTAATAAGCTGATCCTCATGGTTGGGACGAAAGGCTTAGATGGTGGTGGTGGTGGTGGTGATGATGATGATGATGACAAATTACCTGACTTCAGAAGAATATTTGTACATTTCCAATATCTCATTGCCAGAGTGAATAAGACCAGCAGTCCGGCTTTCACCGTCTAATCGACCACGTGAAAGAGCACATATCGCTTCTGATAGGCACTTGTTAATTGTCTCCAAGGCCATTGAAAATGCCCCAACCCTCTTATGAAGTTCTATCGACTGAAACATTACAAAATGAGGATATAAAAGATACTTGGGGAAGTCATAGAACTAATTATGATAACATGAGACTAGAATTCCATTACGACAAAAAGAAACAGATGATAAGCAAATAAGCAAGAAATAGAACAAAGTAGACATTTTAATACTCTTGATGAGTGAATATCAATCCTCTTTATCTTATGCAGACCCTTGATAGGTATTTATTTTGGTTATTTTCTTTATGTAGCAACAGAGAAAAACTTTAGTGATAGAAAAGGAGTGCAAACAAACAGAACCCCCTAAAACAAGGTTGCACTACACAGACACAACTATAGGCCTAATGGGAAGTAGGAAGGGCCATTGTATAACACATCCCAACTGACCAAAACAGCAATAGAAAGAGAATAGAAAACAATCTTGGGATACATATACATGTATATGCATATGCATATATCCATACTTCTTTGTCTCAAAAATCTAAATGTCTAGTTATGCAGACACCTATTGCTTAGGCCTGTAATCAGACTAAACCCAAGTTCGATCTGATAAGAAGGAATTAATGGCATCCAAATCTGATCGGGAATCTTATCAGATGTATGAACAATGCATTCAAGTTCAACTCGGATTGGATTTTTCGGATTTTGGATTGATCTGACTCCAAAGGACTTACTTAGGCCTAATATAAAGCCGCCTTGTTCAGAAGCCCAATTGTGTACTAAATACACTAAAAGCTTTAAATTTTTATTCAAAACAATGCTTAAAAGTTCAATGAAAACAAACAAAGGCTTTAATATGTTATACTATATAATATATACTAGAGTTCAATTGTGTATATAATATATCGGAGTCAAATCGGATGTCAATTATGTACTAATACACTGAAGGCTTTAATATATTATACTATTATATAACATATTAATATAATTATACTATATATATACATATATATATGTATGTGTATATATATATACACATCGGAGTCAGATTTTTATCAGATTGGGTGGAGGTATATCCAAATCCAATCCGATTTTCTACTCGCCCCATCCAAGTCTGATCTAAAATTGTATATGGCTCATCCGATTCCGGAATAATCGGATCGGGCTGCAGAATTTCAGGTATTGTTGACAGGCCTACCTATACTTTCTGTTTCTCCCTCTGGTTTTGTCTCTCTCCTCCATATGCTCTCACAAAAACTCTCAATAGATAAGAAGCCAAGGAGATTCTTTTGGATTGAAATTGTGGTTCTTCTATAGCACAAGTAACACAAAAGCAAGCTCCAGAAGAACCACAGATCCTATAATTCTCTTTCGGGTGTACACAGTATACAGGTGTTAGACAAAGTAGTATATGGTACTATAATGCAAAAAGCTCTGCATTTCTGCATACTGGCAATGTGCATTTTCTCCTCAAAGATCAAAACATATGTTTGCAATACCATGGTGGTGATACAGAGAAACTACTAAAACATAGCATACTAATTTATACCATTACAGAAAATATTTCTTATTAATAGCCATGAATCTGTGTGGTAATGCATCATATGAACTCCTGCATAAGCAGCTCTGAAACCATAAAAGTCAAGAATAAGAGTAGTATTACCTTGTCATAAAGCCCAGATTCCTGACATTGACGAGCAGCTTCAAGCAAAAATTGCCGTGCATTCCTATCAGGCAAGAATCTTCTCAGTTCACCTTCTTCACCAGCACCCCTTGAGCCAAGTAAAAGATAAATACCACCATCCCGTAACAATATCTCCATGAGGAGTTGTTTTAGCATCATGGTTTTCTGTCTTTGTTGATCAAGGTTGCCTCGTCCAGTCCATGACAACTGTCCACCACCCACTGCAGCAGCAGCTTGTGCATAGTATTCCAACGCCATTGCATGATTACCTGAGCGCAAGTAGACTGACCCATACTGCCGAATTATGCTAGCTACTTCTGCAAATGCATCCATCACTCCAAGCTTTTGGCCAGTCCCTGCACCATCAGAAAGGGCACCATGGTCTGCCAGAACAATTGAAATGTGGACAGAATCAATATTGAATCCTTCATCTCCTGTTTCCTTGGAGAGGTATAGGACTGCCGGTAGCAACTGGATGCTTAGAAGCAATACATACGGGTACATCAAGGGATCCTTTCCATTTTTGGTGTAATATGATGGTTCAAATTTATTTAGATAAATCTGTAGATCATCTAGGCTGTAGGGTACCAAGCCCTCGTTTAGGACAACAGAAGAGGCCCCTCGTGGGACATCCCGTTCCCGTACAGCTGACAATTTGAACCACAAGAAGTCCTCTATGGTATTGAAAAGTGTTGGTATATCTCTAATCAACCGATCAATCTGTCTGCGAGAACCAGATATAATAGCATAAAGTAGCAACTTTTTCTTGTCATATCCAGCTCGGCCTGCTCGATCACCCATCCTCAACATTTTCTCACACTCTTCTGAAGCAGCAGCTGCAGTTTCTGGTGAAACCATACCTCCAGTTGAAATCCACTCTGCCAGCTGCCAAAAAGGATATCATTAACTATGTTAGACTGCTAGTAAAAGGGAATAAGAATCCATAGTGAACACTCTCTACCTGATGCGCAAATTGGTGTGAAACACGAGATGACAAGGCAACATTTTTTGCTTCATCATAATAGCCAGTTCTCAAGCAAAAATAAATCTGTGCATGGTCAGAAAGAATAAAAGTTAGCCAAACATGCAGCAATGGTGAAAACCATGGGATTTATTTTTATTGATAGTGAAAACCACAGGACTTACAAAGAGAAAAAAAAAAAAAGAAAAAAGAATTAGTTGGAATTGGAGATACAATATAACAAAATGAAGAATGTAGTAGTTTTTCTTTCTACAGTCATTTGTGCTTTCCAATGAAAAATATTTTATAAAAATGTCATATTATAAGGAATTTAATCATGAAAAGAAACAATCACACTAAACTTTTAAATCATAATTTCTTCCTTTTCTCCTATCATTAATAAAAAAAGAATAGAAGCCAAGCAGAGATGACAACAAACAAAAGGCTAGAGCATGTATTCCAGCAAATACACGGTATGATGGCAACAGGTCTGAACTCTGAAAATGTTCTAGACTGGATTGCACCAGGTGATCAGGCTAATAAAACTGAGAATAGAAATTCATGGTCGTTTATCTGGAGCATTTGGGCAAGATATTGTGCCTAACTGGTCAAAGCCATCCAAGTAGATCCACGAAAGTCAAGAACCAGCAAGCCACGAAAGGTAACAGAAGAAAAGGATAAATTTCTGAAATTAGCACCCACAACCACCCTCCATGAAAGAAGGAAAAGAAAAGGTCCAACTTCTTTTCTTTAGATACTCCTTCATATTCTGTCATCAAGGCTCCATCATATATGTGCTTTAGAGCATCTTCATCTTTGTAAAACTCATATATAGCTAAAAAGCTTATACAACCGAAGGATGAGTTATAATTGCGCAATTGTGCTTGATTCCAACTAATTTATCAATCAACATACGTGTACTGCAAGCACAAGCACTCAAAGAAAGAAAGGAAAAAAATTATTTCTCTAATGTACATTAAAATACCAACTTGACCAACTAATGTCTACCAAGCAACTAAAAACTAGGAATAAATGAGATTTAAGACCTGCTGCCATGTTGTATCAAGAGGAGGCTGCCTACGAGCATCACCAGCATCAAAATCTAAGACTCCATATTCTCTCAAACGAATCTGTTCAGGAGAAAATAAAAAAAGAAAACCAAAAAAAAAAAAATCAGATAGTCAGAATTAAGAATCATTACATTTAAGACACTTGTTAATGGAATCTGGGAATATGATGACAAACCCGAAGAAATGCCCGAACTTTTTGCAAGTTTCCAACAGCCCCACCAAGAGCAGCCTACAGTGACATTAGAAAACAACTGAAAAGTATAAATTCCACTCATCATGATTTTATTTTTATCCAGGCAGCTGATAAGTAATGATAAAGCACCAGTAAATAATTAAAATATGAATTACTCATCAAAAAAATTCAAATATGAAAATAAAGTTCCTCAAAATAAAGATTGAAGTAGAAATCAGTTTCTTTTTGTGTGTGGGTGGGGTGGGGTGGG